AAAAAAAAAAAGATTTTGGAGGACCACCAACATTTAGACCATAGCAATGATTTTTTTGAAAAATTTGTTTTATAATCTTATTAAGATTATTTCTGAAAATAGATAAGGTAAAATTCTGAGGAAATAAACCATCTTATAAAAATTAGTTTTTGTTCTCTAGAGAATTGGAGTAATTTCTTGGTGCTTGCCTGTATTGTAATAATTGGTCCATATTGCATAGAACTCTGCATAAAACAAGTAGGTAAAGCAGTTCAGTTTAAATCATAATAATCTCTACTACTGGCTTTTGTCTTTTTTAATTTATTTCAGCTCTTATGTTTATTAACTTCTGCTTTCTTTGCATTTTCTGTTTAATTTTCTAGCTTCTTAAAAAGAATGCTTAATTCCATTAGTTTAAAATTTTTAAACTACATTTCAAGTTATAAGCATATTTCTAAGTATTGCCTTTACTGCATCCCACATGTTTTGAATTATGAGTGCTTTTTTATCATTCATATCTAAAGATGTCATGAATTTTATCGTGTTTTCCTCTCTAAACCATATGTTCTTGGGAATTCCCTGGCTGTCCAGTGGTTAGGACTTTGTGCTTCCACCGCAGGGGGCACGGGTTCAATCCCTTGTTGAGGAACTAAGATCCTGCATGCTGTGTGGTGTAGCCAAAAAAATAAAATATATTGTAAACCATATGTTCTTTTTTGTTGTTATTTATTTTCTTTTTCTTCCAGTTTTATTGAGATATAATTGACATATAACACATGCTCTTTCAGAATACAATCTTTAGTGTTGGGCTTGTATGTTTGTTTTTTCCCACTAACTTTATATTATTGACTTTTAATCTAAAATTGCATTGTTGTTAGAATATGTGGTTAATCTGATAAGGATTCTTTGAAATTTGTTGAAAGTCCTTTTGTAATCTAGCACGTTTATTTTTGTAAATGTTCCATTTGTGCCTTTATATTTTCTCCTTGTTGGCTACCTGAGTCTCTGTTTATATATTTACTCAATTCAGTTTATTAATGATGATCAAATTTTAAAACAGCATAGCTGCCTATGGACTAGGTAAAATGATCTTAAAGAATCTTCATTTAAAGTATCTTTAGTTAAAGATATTAAGAACTTCACCTTAGATTTAGAGATAACTTAAAATTTATGAATTTTGACAGAAGTAATTTTTTCCTGCTTTTGAAATCCCTAAGATAGCAATGATAGAAGTAGTAACAGTAGCAGCAGTAATGTTAGTAGTAATAGTAATGGTAACAGCAGCCACAACAGCTAACATCTGTGGAGCTCTTACTGCGTGCCAGACATCATTCAGAGCTTTCTATATCGGTTAGTGAATTTACCCAATAACAACTCTATGACATATAATTGTTTTCCTCTTTTTATGGAGTCAAACACAGAAAGGTTAATACTCTTGCCATTGTAGTCACATTGTCTTTCAACAAATAAATGTAAGTTCAGTTGGACACACACACAAAAAAACATTTTTTTTCTTTCCCCTTTCCAGTTACTAGAAAAGTTAAAAGAACGTTGGCTCTCCACTGGTGTATGGCATAATCTGGAGTTGGTGAAGACAGTCATTGTAGAGCCACAGAGAGGAGAAAAAACTGATTTTGATGAATTACTGCAGATGTACTATGATGCGATCAAGTACAAAGGAGAAAAAGGTAATTGGAAATTATTTGATGGTCAGTGAAAAAAAATTTTTCCCATAAAGTGAAAAGTTGGTGCTGTTAGAATTTTATTTGTGTTATCTTTTTTAAATGAATTGCACTTGAGGAAAATTATATTTTATAATCCTGAGTGAAAATAAAATAGGTTAAAGAAATTCTTTTATTTGGAGTTGTTCTCCTATGAATATTTTCATTTGAAGATGCCAGTTCAGTTTTATGAAATGGCATGCGTTCAGGTATTATCCCAGAGACTTCCTTACGCTAACTAAAATGTTTTGTTAAAGAAGGTAGGTAGAGTATGCATTAATATTTTCCTTACTAGCCAAATGAGCCCTACATTTTTATGTAAAAAATATACTTTGTGCTTATATTTTATTATATAAGGTAAACTTGAGTTTTCAAAACATAACTGAAGGCTAAATTTCAAAGTTAGAGAATGCCCATAAAAAGTTTGACAAGAAGGGCTAACAGTAATTTATGAACAGTGCAACATCATAAAGATATTATAACATAATTGTCAATATCCTTGTATGGTAAGATTATACACAGAGTATTCTGTGTATGTGTGTTTTAAATACTTTTCAATATAATATTGATTCAGTATGATATATAGTATATATTAGAGTTATTTAAATCATTCTGATAACTTTATATTCTGGTGGTAAAGATAGTGATTTCAATTTCAGTATTTTAAAGTTAAAACAGTTGGTTCACAGTTGCTCAGCTCACATGCAAGTTACTACTCTGACATGGTTTTTCTATATAGTTTAACTGGGAGATACACAGTTTATAAATTGGTTCTACCATGTTGCATCTAAATGTAATTTTGTTTCTTTTATTTATTTGAAGACATTGAATTTTAAAAACTTTATAATAGTTTTTAATTTTGTTTCTTTAAAATTTGGTATTATAATTACTTAATAATCAGGTCTTTTCAAAACGACAAGAATAAGAATTTCTGGGAATTTTGAGTGTGCTTATAAAAATGTTGATTTTTGTTGCTTAAGATGGCGCCCTCCTGGTGGCAGTTTGTCGTGGTAAAGTGAGTGAGGGTCTGGATTTCTCAGATGACAACGCCCGTGCTGTCATAACAATAGGAATTCCTTTTCCAAATGTGAAAGATCTACAGGTAGGCCAGCAAAGCCTTAAGAAGTTTTATTTATCACAGAAGTTGTTGATTTTGTGTAAGGTTAATTAGACATTTTTCTTGTATCCTCAGGCATTTTATTTTATTTTATTTTTTAATTTATTTATTTTTGGCTGCATTGGGTCTTGGTTGCTGCACACAGGCTTTTCTCTAGTTGTGGCGATCGGGGGCTACTCTTCATTGCGCTGCACGGGCTTCTCATTGCGGTGGCTTCTCTTGTTGCAGAGCACAGGCTTTAAGCGCACAGGCTCTAGAGTACAGGCTCCAGTAGTTGTGGCACACGGGCTTAGTTGCTCCGCGGCATGTGGGATCTTCCCGGACCAGGGCTCAAACCCATGTCCCCTGCACTAGCAGGCGGATTCTCAACCACTGCACCACCAGGGAAGCCCCAGACATTTTATTTTAATGCTCTAGTGACTCAGAATGAGTGAGAAAGGTTTAGGAGATACGGGTTTATTTTATTTTTAACTTACCCTGTCTTCTGCTTAGTAAGAGTGATTTTCAAAGTGTGGTCCTGGGTCGGGAGCATCACTATTATCTGGGAACTTAATAGAAATAGATATTTCCAGGCTCCATCGAGACCTACTGAATCAGAAGCTTTGGAGGTAGAGCCCAGCAGTTTGTGTTTTATCAAACTCTTAGCCACAGACTGACAGGGAGCCCCCGGGGAATTCTAGGGCCCTTTCTCTATCTATCTCCCTTCTCTCCAATGCCATGCCTTGCCCTGCAGATTTTAGTGATTTTCGCTGTTTCAAGTTCTGATATTTTCCATTTCATCTCAGCAGAAACACCATACTTTGCTTGTACTTCAGTGCTCTGTGCTACTGTCGGAAAATTATACCTAGGAAGAGAGCTGAGAATCATAGAGTTCACCTAATGGATCTTATGAGATTATTTTATCTCTGAGATTACAGTTTTAGGCTGCCTGGTGTCTACTCCCTAAAATCAGTTGCTTTATCTGTTTTGTCCAGTTTTACAGTTACTTACAATGGGAGGGATATTCCTAAACCAGGTATTCTGCCTTGGTCAGAAACAGGAGTTTTGCTTCATTATCACTAATTGTTTGCTAAACATACTTGAAAAATTATTTGTAGTAATAATTTGAAGCCTAAGGTGATGTTATGTTTATCGGGGGGGATTTTCTTTTACTTCCTACAGGAATTTGAAGTTGCTAGCAACCTGAGACCAACACTTGAGGTTTTCTGGCCACTGAGCTGACTCCATTGAGTATAATCCATATCCCTCCCAGGATACAACCTGTTAGGATCTCATACTAAAACAAGAATTCTTTCCCTAGGCAGTTATCTTCTTTATTGATAATATTTTACTAGACACTGTGAATTATATAGTAGTAACAGTAATAATATTTCTCTAATTAGCTTCTACTCTTCCCTGACCTCTGGACCTTGTCAAAATTTCTGAAAGTCCTCAGGAGGTATTTAATCCTTTCAGCCTACAGTACTTTGGTGGCTTCTACTGCCTTTCTCCAGCCACCAGTTCTACCACTGAGAGTGCTGATGACCATTCCCAGGGCTCCTATTCTAAAGTGGCTAATGCTGCCTCTGACTACTACTACTGATGAAACAGTAGACATCCACTCAAGAAAACTGTTGTGTTCACCATCAATAGTATTAGTGTTCATTCCACTGAAGCTGAGTTCTGCTGATTGCACTGCTGTCGGCAGTGGTACTGTCTTTTTTTGATGTCTTATCATTTTACCTTGGCCCTATATTACTGTACTAACGCTGCTTTGTTTAAGTGGAGAGAATCTCTTTCCCACATTTTCTACTACGCATTCTTCCCACGTCTTAAATATAAATTTTCCCCCCTAAAACTAGCTCTTTCAACTTTTGCTTGTATCTTATTTCATTCTTGGACCTATGTATGAGTCCTTGAGAGCTGGAAAAGGAGCTTTATGGCTAATAACTAGGTTGTACTAAATATTGCACTCACAAAGTAACAAGTCCTAAAAGAATTCACATCAAACTCATAATAGTGATTGTGAATGAGAAGAGAAAGGAATGATATTGGGGGTCGTTATCAAAAGGGCTTTAGCTTTTCCTATAATAGCTGTTTTACTAAAAAACAAGCTTAAAGAAAATATGGGGAGAACACAGGTGTTTATTGTGTTATTCTTTGAAAAATCCTTAAAATTAAATAAAGTGTTACTTGTGAAGGAAAAAAAATTACATTTACCTTCTGTTTTCTCTACTGTCATTCCCAACAACTGTGATTCTGGGTGTTGTTATTGCACCAGTCTTGGATTTCTTAATGCTTTCTTTCCTCAGGATAAGTTCTTCCCAGGCAACATCTCAGTCTGTCGTTTAAAAAACAAGATACCAGTGACCTGCTCTGACATCCCTCAGTAATGGTCCTACTTGTAGTTGTGCTTATTTGAATTCCAATGGCTCTAGTTGTATAAAATAGCAAAATAACAGAAGCTTCAATGAGGTCTGCATAGGGAGGAGAGGAGGGTGATTCTAAAGGAGTTTCCCTAGTGGTTCCTAAAAGGGACAAGTAGGGTGGACCCAAGAGTAGTCTGAGCTGCAGGATCAAGGGACAGACAGAAAAGGAGGAAAAGTCATTATTGGAAAGACTTGGACGTGTATTTCTTGTTGCATATGTCTGGATCACTTCTTCCTGTCTAACAAACAATTCTAAAACTCAGTGGCTTAAAATACCAGTCATTTACTATGGGTCAGCATCTATGAGGGTGGGGTGGGCAACAGATGATTTCAGCTGGGCTCAGTCACCCTGCTATGGTTTGACCAACATAGGTTGCACTCAACTGGATCAGCTCTGCTGATGGATCTCATCCTTTGTGGACCAAGAGACCAGCCAAAGCATGTTATTGCAATGGCAGAGGTACAAGAGAGCAGGCTTGACTGTGTAAGCACTTTTCAAATACCTGTTTATGTCACATCTACTAACATATTGCCCAAAGTATGTCATATGCCCAAGCCCAAAGTCAACAGCAGTGGCGGGGCTGGGGGAAGGGGGTATTTTCCACCACACATGGCAAAGGGCTTAGAATAAGGACTCCAAAAAGGAGTCCTGGCCTTTTTTTTTAATAACTAAAGGATATTTATAAAGCATTCATTCAAAAGACTGATGTTTATAAGCTTTAAGAGTATAGATATGCAATTTTTATAATAATTAAGGACTTTTATCTTCTGGAAATGACCAGAATATAATAGTACCTGAAATATCTGAGTATATGAAATAACTCAGAGCACCATTATGGATTTCTTAAAATTTATAAATGATCAAACAAGTTATTGAAAATAATAGTACACTTCTATAAGATATAAAAGAAATACAAAGTTTGAAATTTTAATAAAGCTCACTTCATTTTTTGTTGTTGTTGCCTGTGTTTTTGGTGTTATATTTAGGAAAACATTGCCAAATCCATGATCATGTAGATTTGCCCCTAATGTTTTTTGTCAAAGAGTTTCATAGTTTTTGCTCTTAAATTTAAATATTTGATCCATTTTGAGTAAAGTTTTGTATATGTTGTAAAATGAGTCTAACTTCCTTATATCTAAAATGAGTCTCTTGTAGACATCATATAGTTGGATCATGTTTTTTTTTTTTTAATTAATTAATTTATTTTTGGCTGCGTTGGGTCTTTGATGCTGCTCGTGGGCTTTCTCTAGTTGAATCGAGCAGGGGCTACTCATCGTTGCGGTGCACGGGCATCTCATTGTGATGGCTTCTCTTGCTGCGGAGCACGGGCTCTAGGTGTGTGGGCTTCAGTAGTTTTGGCATGCAGGCTCAGTAGTTGTGGCTCGTGGGCTCTAGAGCGCGGGCTCAGTAGGTGTGGCACATGGGCTTAGTTGCTCCACAGCACGTGGGATCTTCCCAGACCAGGGCTCGAACCCACGTCCCCTGCATTGGCAGGCAGATCCGTAACCACCGCGCCACCAGGGAAGTCCTGGATCATGTTTTTTAATTCATTCTGCCAATATCTGCCTTTCTGTTGGAGAGTTTAATCCATTTACGTTTAAAGTAATTACTGATAAGGAAGGGCTTGTTTTACCATTTAACTATTTGTTTTCTGCATGTCTTATGTGCTTTTTGTTCCTCAGTTCATTCATTATTGCCTTTTTTGTGTTTAGCTGTTTTTTGCTATGTACTATGTTGATTCCCTTCTTTCCTTTTGTGTATATTTTTCAGTTATTTTCTTAGTGTTACCTTGGAGTTAATCTCTGCCTCTCCCTTTTTATATTGTTATTGTCATAGATTACATCTTTATATATACATTGTGTACCATTAACATAATTTACAGTTATCGTTTTATGCATTTGCCTTTTAAATCACATGAAAAAAAACAGTTACAAACCAAAAGTATGATAATATTGGCTTTTATATTTACCTACATAGTTATTTTTACCAGTGTTTTTTATTACTTCCTAAAGCACATACTTACACTGCCTTCATTATATTATATTTTAGTGTTTATAAATATGTTTTATAATCTGTTAGATTACCTCAAGGATTAGGACAATTTCTTAAATATCTTTGTCTCTACAATTAAATATTGCCTTGGAATATAGTGAGTGTTCAATAAGTTGATTTAATTAATGATTAAATATGTTTATTATTTAATATATTTATATTTAAAGTCTTAAATATATGTATACTTATATATTTAAATATAATTAAGTATTAAATATATACTAAATATTAAAGTAAAATTAATTAAAATAAAACAAAGTTCAGTATATTTAATATAAGTTATCAAAATAGTATTTGGTTTTGTTGTTTGTTTTACTTGACATTGTTATTAAAAAACAACAACCCTCCATTCCTGGACTCTTTAATTAAGGCATCATAATGATAGTAATCATTATTTGATGATAATCATCAAATAATGATGAATATCATCAAATAATCATTATTTGATGATAAAGACAGTATAATAAGGCAGTACAGTATGTTGTTACAATCATAAATCATTAAAGGAGTTATGAAGGGAATAC